GTTTGATATTTAAGTTACTGTGAGTTTTATTCCACCACTAACAAGTTATATCCTTTAATTCCACCACAAACAAGTTCTATCGTATAATTCCGCCACTAACAAGTTCTATCCTTTAATTCTGCCACTAACAAGTTCTATCCTTTAATTCTGCCACTTACAAGTTCTATCCTATAATTCCACCACTAACAAGTTCTATCCTTTAATTCTGCCACTTACAAGTTCTATCCTATAATTCCACCACTAACAAGTTCTATCCTTTAATTCCACTACTAACAAGTTCTATCCTATAATTTCACCACTAACAAATTCTATCCTATAATTTCACCACTAACAAGTTCTATCCTATAAGTTCACCACTAACAAGTTCTATCCTTTAATTTCACAACTAACAAGTTCTATCCTTTAATTCCACCACTTACAAGTTCTATCATATGATTATACTTCAACACTTAAATTTTTTTAAAATGTGAATGAGAATGTTTGTTTTTCACTGTCTTTCCCAGGGACTGAGCACATCTAAGCAATATCTTGTAAACAACCTTTCTGTGTATGAATCAAACGACAAGGAGCCCACGAAACCATGTGCCAAAGCTTCACATTGTGGTCTGGGAGGCTGTTGCCTGCATGGTTGGTGCAGCACCACTGGCTCCACCTTTAATAAGTGCTACTCCAAAGTCAGACAGAACGGCCGGGTCAGGCCTGTTGGCAACTGGAAAAAGACTGACGTCTGCCCGTGCGACTACATGTCATATTGCTTCACCCAGAAACCTTATAAGAAGCACCCAAAGTTTGGAATCATCGGCAACTGTTTCCCAATCATGCGTTAGTGACAGAATGTGAGCTCATTGGCTGATGGTTTTTAGTTTGAAAAATCGCTAGTAGGTCAAGAAAGTTTATCTATGTTCGACGTTGTTTATTTAAATGAAGCGGGTGAAAAAGTTGTGAATCAATTGATGGTAAATAAGCCGATTGATAAAGAGAGACATTGATAAAAGACTCGAACACCAAGAAATATAAATAGATCAGAGACGATCAGAGAGCCAGATATAGAAACTCTTAAGAGAAACATAAACCTAGTGACAGATAGAAGCTTAGAGATGACGAATGAGAGACACAGAATCACAGAGAAAATCACATAAAAGGAAAAACAATGTTAGTGAGAATAACTAACAACAAAATGAAACTTCAGAGAAAGAGAGCAAACACTTCAAATACATCAGCCGTGTACTTATGACTGTGTTATTCAAAGGAAACAGACAGTGCACTAAATAGAGAATGAAGATACAAACATCAAACAATTATAGTCTCATTATTATTATTATTATATTTTGTTGATTCATATCATACGTTATTGTTCTGTTAATACAAGTGTTTGCTGTTTGCACAGAGTTTATGGATGCAACGATATTATTTGTATCTATTTATTATGTTTGTCAAATGTTGACCTTTTACGCAAACAAACAAAAATGGCAAGTGTGAATGTGATGACTTTAATATGGTTCTTTATTATTACATTTTTTGTTCTTGGGGTAATAGATTTTGAGTGTTACAGCTAATGAATTTGAATTATTTTAGCTGCTAGTGTTGAATGTGTTTATGAATGACAAAATAGTCAGTGTGCTGGCAGACTACAAAATGTATGTGTATTGTTATAACTCTGCCATTCGTACCGCCATCTAAGCTAGAAAGTGCGCACTGTGATAAACTAGACTGGAAAGGATGTCAACATTAGAAGAGGAGAACGATTTCCACCCAAGTAAAGAGCCAATATGGAGAGATTGTGCCTAAGATAGATGTTGTTTTGTGTACCTGTGATGTCGTGTGAATAAACGTCTATGTCTCGTTGGGTTGCCTCACTTAAGTTATTACAGTATTTAAGATTAATGTACTATTAGTTATGTGATTTAAATGTTATTGATTTTTATTGAATTGATTTCCTTACTCAAAAATTTCCTTTTTTATACACCTCTAAAAAAAAGAGTTGCCATTGTTTTTTGGAGTTCTTATTGCAAGTCATTGGAGAAAAGTCATAGAAACGAAGACTGGCTTAGTCTTTGACTAAATCTAATCAGACGGTTCAAACACAATAACAAATAGAGTTTGGTTTCCATGCAAACTTTTATATTGTTATGCTTTGCAGGTCCAATGTAATTATATAATCTCAGTGTGTGAAAATGGTTAAAATCCCGAGAAGAATCCTTTGTGTCTGGCAGCATATGCGCCGCCTAGAATGGAGGCTAAACAGGCCTGAGCAATCGATGATAACACAGTGCATAACAGGTCACTGCTTTAAAGGTGCATACTTGGCCGGGTTGCGGTAGAACTATGATTCCCTTTGCGGGGAGTCAGAGGGAATAGTGGCCCATATCTTGTCCCAGCTTCGAAAGTGTGTCTGCAATGTCACTCAACCTGAACACGTTTATTCTCATCTCATCATATAGGCCCAGTATGAGAGAAATGTAATAATAAAAAAAAACAGAGCTTTTATTAAGCATAGTTGTATCAATTTGTTTGGTCAGTCATGTATTTAAATTTGTAATAGATCTAGACTAACATTGATAAATCTGCGCGATTACCAATATTTTTTCAAATTGTTTTTCTTTAGAGCAATTTCACGCTTTTAGCTTGTCTCACTACACTATGATCCTATCACTTGTCTCACTACTCTATGATACTAATCACCTGTCTCACTACGCTATGATCCTATCACTTGTCTCACTACTCTATGATCCTATCACTTGTCTCACTACGCTATGATCCTATCACTTTCTTACTACTCTATGATCCTATCACTTGTATGGACCATTTGGGAAGGGGTGGGGGAGAAAGAAGGGATCTGGAAGATCGTTGTTTAAATCCATTTATAAAAGAAAGAAAAAATGTAAACGACCAGTATTGGAATCCAATGGCTTAAGTTTCCTAAGCCTTCTCAAGCCAATACACTAACCACTTTGCCAGCGAATCGCTTATAAAAATAGGTTTTATAGTTATCTATTATTAGCTTAAACTTTAAAGCGACGACCTATAAAATGAACTAGTTCAACTTATACCACCACATCAGTCAAGTACAATTCAACTCAAATTATGCATTGAACGAATACCCTTTAACAATTAGTGTTTTGCATAAGTTATAAACTTAAGGCCTGCGATTAAATCACTGCGTAGCCGATGTTAACAGTTCTACCAAGCTGAATGATTTTCAGTGCTGTCTCAGTGTGTTTGGAGCTAGGGTGGATATTGTTATAAAATTTGAAAACATGCCGTTTATTAAGCGTTAAGAGTTATCAATGGCTTAACGTTGCATTAGGCAGCCTGCTTTCTTGGGAATTGTCCGGTGTAGGCTAGTTCTCTCAGCATCATCCCAGTTTACCTAAATACCAGCGGCTTTTATATAAATATTCATCAATAACAATGCGTTTTTTTTATATAGATAGATTTTTTTTTAATTAATAAACACTCCTGATGTAGTTATATGTTAGAAATAACCTGCATTCATTAAACCACTGTTACACCAGATCTGAACAAAGTTGTCGTCTCCTTTCCATTAGGACTAAAACAGAAAGATTTAAAAACTCCATTATCTCACGATCGGTCACAGTATTACAAAGTCATCTGTCTTCATCGAGAAGTAGATAGAAGTCTAAGGCATAAAGCGTTGGTTGTGAGTATGTATGTGCAGGGCCGGTCCTACAGATTGCGGGGCCCAATGCGAAACGGATTGCGCGGGGCTCGTTCTGGGTTGTGTTAAAGAAAATAAGTGAAAATTAAGATTTTGTATTACAAAATAAATTCGTCTTTGCATTTTATTCATACTTTACTAAGTATAAATCACTGTCAAATTAACTTTAATAGCCATCTACACTAGATAGTATTTTTCAAACAAAAGCAGATAAACCTTTAGATCTGCCTATTAGTTTTACTATCGAGTAGCAAAATATCGCTTTTGTCTTTTTTTTTTTAAGAGGTCGAGATAGATTTAGATCCATATTTGTATGCCAGGGACTATAAAAGTCAATGAAGTATTTGAACTTCTTGTTTTGATTAAAATTCGCTTTTTTATTATATTTTTATTAAATGAAAGCTGATTATGCCGATTTTTTTTATCGCGAATAGCATTGGCGTTGTTGATATTTAATGACACCCCAAAATGACAATTTTGTCTGTTTTTAAGGAGATTTGCATCAGTTTTCAGAAGATTTTAATAATTTCATGACATTTTCATGACTTTTTCGTATATTTTAGAATTTCAGGAGAATTCCAGGAACCCTTTAATAATAAGTTAAAATGGTTTAATTTAATAATTTACACCTAGAATTCGCGCGGGACCTATGAGAGTGCGGGGCCAACTGCGGCCGCATAAGTTGTAGTGGCTTAGGACCGGCCCTGTGTATGTGTTTCGTGTGTAAATGTTGTTCGTATTTGCATCTATATTGTTATTGTTACAGCAGTTACGCTGAGGTGTTCTATTGTAGTCAAACTGAATCTGTATCCGATTGCAACATATAAAAATAATCTTATCTTATCTTGTAAATGTCCATGCAATTTCATTGTAGGTTTTAATTTAATTAAGGTATATAAGGAGACAACTGACATTAACAATGACATTAAAAACATATTTGAATTGAGCTAACTCTGGATGAGCAACTAATAAACAATGTACAGAAAATCAAAGGAAAAGAAAACAACTTTCAGCACCAATAGTTTTATTGGACTTAAAAATGTGAGGGAAAAAAATGTACTCAAGATGCTAACCTATCCCAGCATGCAAGTGAAGGAATCAGCAGCTAGTATCAATTTATTGGCAGTTACAGTGGCAGAAAATGTTTCAAATGCACAATATTAAAATATCTCATATTGCATATAGTGATTTACAGTGGCAAAATTTTGTTTTAATCTGTAATAAATACTTCCAAAAATGTATTTCAAATAGCCACTAGCAAATGCCATTATTTCATTTTGAATAAAACACAGTTTGTTTGTTTTTTAATTAAAAAAAAAACAGTTATTTTTGTTTTGTTTTTCTGATGCATTTTCTCTGCATATTTCCCCAATAAATTGTTTATTATAAATAAATGTTTAATGACAGCAGGCATTCTGAACACATCTACTTCTAATCATATAAAATGAAATATATGAATATAAAAAAAGCAAATATAATTTTTTTAAATGCAGAATTATTTTTGAAAGTCAAAGTTCTATCAAACCTTCTTTCTATTTTTTTTGTTTGTTTTCTTACAAAAATCTAAAATGATAATTGCATCTATCAAATGACAATTTATCATTTTTAAAAACTAAAAAAAAAATGGATATTAACTAATTATACATCATTATACAATGTATATTGATTCCTTTTTTATTTGAGCAATAGGAATTAAACTTCTATAGAACTTCTAAGCTACATATTCTACTACTCAGGTATAAAATATCTAATTGATACCTGTTCTCATGTGCTATATGTTTATTTCATTTTTCTATGAAAATGATTTTTTCAAAAACACATAATTGCTATTGGTTTTAATTATCACCAATATAAGAATAAATACATTATGCTATTTATTATTATACTCACATTTAAATTATTATTTATTATTATTAAATTTAATAAGCTATGACATAAAAGTAAATCTCAAAATAAAAAATTATCAAAGTGTAGTTACTGTTAATCTCTTCCATAAATTTTTTTTTAAAAATCTACTTTGAGCAAAATGTATCATTTTAATAGTAAATGAGGTGCTTGCCAGTTAGGCACAAGCATCCATGAACTCCTCAAAAGATATTTTGCCATCTCCACTTTTATCAGCATTTCTCAAAATCTCATTTGTCTCTTGGTCTGTAAATTTGTGGCCGGATGCTTCCAGAATTTTTTTCAGCTCATTTTTGTCCAGGTAACCACTGTTGTCAGCATCATATTTCTTAAAGAGAGCTGCCAGTTTGGCCAGACTGAAAAGTGTTAAAGAAACAATGAAAGTTTGAAGAAATGCATTTTTTAAACCAGAATTTGAAAACATGATTCAAATTTTGAAAGCCTACATTTATTTCTACAGACACTTGTATTCTGTTTATTGCTATAATAATTGTTGTACATTGATTTGAGGGCTATCATTATTTATTAAAAACAAAGTTTCTTTCTAAAGATTGTTGAGCCATGTAGACTTACTGTACCCGTTACTTAAGCCAAGTGTGTGTTGTATGTATCTAAATTTAGTTCTAACTTTAATTAGCTTTTTAAATATACATACAATATTTTAAGTAGAATAGCAGAAATATTGGGACATAACTCACAAGTCTTCTAATCTGTTCATTCCCTTTACAAACTCATCTAGAGTTATCTTCCTGTCTCCCTTTGGTCCATCAAAGAAAACAAAAGCATCCTAAAAATAAATAAAAGTAAAATGAAATTTGTGAATAGTACATAAGATATTATATTTAAAAGGGAACTAATACTATACTTACTTAAATTAAATTTACGAATACTACTTTAGATATAATTTTTCAAGGGGAACTAAACGTATTTAAATTCATTGACTTTTATTTGTTTAGTTATCTCCCATATGCAGGCAATGCACTTCATTTACAGCCCTATTGTGTCAATTCCATTTTCCTTTAATATAGATGAGAATTCACGTAAATGCGAAATAAATGCCTTCCTTCCTCTAGCGCTCTAACTGCTGGGGGGGGGGGGGGCGGTCCTATTTTGTGGAGAAACATAGTTTGTGAACAAAATTAGTTGAATATATGTATAATATAAACTACGTATTGATATGTGACCCATTGTATATTATGCAGTACCACACTCTAATCTCAAATTGTATCATTAGTAAATTTAAATGAAAAAGGGTTGTACCAGGTGGGAGGGGCGATACATGCAATCACATTTCCACCATCGGACAAATTTTATACTTTTTCTTTTTGTATTATAGTTAGGAAATTACAAAATGTAACAAATCTGTCACTAATATAATTTATATATACTGTATATTAAATTCTTATATCGAGTCGCCCCACCCCTATTCTTTAATGCCAAATGCAATCTTTAACAGAAATTATTAAAGGAGCGAGGATTAATCGTTTTCACTCTACCGCCCCATTTCCAGACAGAGTTTATGTAATTTCACATGGATTTATCATAATTATTTTAAGAAAGATTTTGCATTGGAAAAGTTAGAATTCAAACGAAATTTTTCAGTATCAGAGTCATGATTGAGATGAGTTCTAAACTCAAATAATATTTTCATAGTCGCCTTTTCCCAACCTTTACTCAATCTGATATTTTTCTAGTTAAATAAATTTGGGACTTTAACTCACAATTTATACTTCCATTGTCTTGAATACTATTTATCGAATTTTTTTTTTTCGGCGGCGATCCTCAAAGCCAAAATCTAAATAAGTGGGGTATCTTATCTTTTCAAGGAACAAATCGGTTTTATTTGCAATGTATTAAGGGCCTATAAATTCATATTAGAATATTTTTCAAGTACAACATTATTCAAAAGGTCCTTTTTTAATAGTATGAATAATGAGCTTTAAGTCAGGAGAAGAAGAAATTAGTGAAGAATGCAAGAAAACGTTTATGGCGTCGGGGCTTCGCCCCGAACTCCATTGATGAATAAAGAGGTATACTTGTCAGGAGAATGCGTTTCTGCAGTGAAAAAAGCAAGAAAACGCTTTTGTCCTCGGGGTTTCGCCCCGAACTCCATTGACGCTTTTTTTATTCTCATTTATATATATATATATATATATATATATATGTGTATGTGTGTATATGTGTATGTGTGTGTATATGTGTGCGTGTGTGTGTGTGTCTGTGCTGGCTGTACGCACGTTTATGCATAGGGTTAGGGTTTACCTAGCGTTAGGGTTAGGGTTTGGAAAAAAATCGACCCCCCTCCAAAGTTCTGGATCCGCTAGTGCTTCCACAAGACATGTCTAAGAAAAATACTGAATGTCAAATGGCAAGACAAAATACCAGACACTGAAGTCCTTCAAAGAGCGGGTCTGCAAAGCATCCACACAATCCTGATGCAGTCCCACCTTCGATGGGCAGAACACGTCTGCAGAATGGAAGACCACCGCATCCCTAAACGACTCTTGTATGGCCAAATAAGCGAAGGAAAGCGCTCGCAAGGTGGTCAAAGAAAGCGCTTCAGGGACACCCTCAAAGCTTCTCTGATGGCGTTCAGCATAGACCCAGCCACCTTGGAGACAGAGGCACATGACAGAGCATCATGGCGTCGCGCTGTGAAAAATGGCGCACAGGTTGCTGAGGAAAAGAGAACAACGCTGGCAGAAGAAAAACGCCAGAGAAGAAAAGCAATGCTCACAACACTAGCTCCAGCTAGAATAACCTGCCCAGTGTGCAGCCGAACATTCCGGGCTCCCATAGGTCTCACCAGCCACGTGAGGAGGCATAGAACTCCACCAGTGCATAGCCCTCAGCCCCCTGAATGACAAAGTGGTCATTATCGAACCACGATGGACGAACTATATATATACTAAACTAAATATGTATATAGTTTCTCCTTGTATATAGGCCCTACACATGTCTGTTATGATTGCGGAATCCTCGAGATGTTATTCACATATAGATGCTACTTTGCAAGACAGTGACAGAGATCAATGTGATTACTTTTAGTACGTTTCCTTTCAACTCGATGCGTTTCTTGTTATCGCACTAAACATCTGATTCATTCAATTTTAGTTCATTTTCAGTGTTATTTCACTTATATTTTTAAAATGAATTCTTAAATAGGTTTTGAGTAATGTAAAGCATGTCCCTTGAAGGGAGTACTTTATATCGCAATCAAGAACTGCGTCACACAATGAGAGGAATACTTTTGTTGGTTTGTCTATACGTCTTGATCATCTAAAAATAGTTACCTCCCCACCACCGCCACCACCAGGCGTGTTTATCTGCGTATGACAGAATGTCCTGACATCAGGACGCAGTTAATAAACGATGTCAGTGTTTAAGTTGTGACATTTGCACGTGTCGTCGCTCATCCAAAATTCACGGTCGATATTAGCATTGAAACAAAATAAAATATTTCTCAATATCTATCTATCTATCTATCTATTTATCTATCTATCTATCTATCTATCTATCTATCTATCTATCAGTTTTAGCATTTAAACAGTATTACATAATTTGTAAATAGATATTGTTGCTGAACTAACATTAAATTATAGCTTTTATATAGCGCTACTTTCATGCTTATAGCATGCTTAGAGCGCTATTGTTAAAGATGTACCTGCAGATATAAAACTTATTTTGCTTTATTTTTTTTTTTAAATAGTACTTAGGTTAAAATACAAATAGCAAATGAAAATGTAGGGCTTCTAGTTCTAAGATCGATGAAGTTGGAAGTATTGAGCAGTTTCTTAATTCCAATGTTGCCTGTCTCCATTGTTTGTCTAGACTCTAATTCCAAACAAGAGATAACTAGTTCCTGGTGTCACATTCTCTGAGCAGCCAATACAAATCGAGTTCTGATGTCCAATTGATTAATGCATGCTTTAGTTTCTACTTTCATTCCGTGTTCTGTATGGCCTGTGTCATCAGTGATAGAAGAATCGTGACAAGATGGCTTAGACTGACAGAGCCTTTGCCATCAAGGTTTTTTAGAAAGCCGTTAAGGTGAGTACTTACAGCGACCTGTGAGTCGGTCATTTTGCTGTTGCCCCGACGTAGCATGTCTCTCATCTCCAGAACATCCAGAGCCCCACTTTGGTCTTTGTCTGCAGCCTTGAACAGTGCCTCCCATTGCTCTATTGAACATCTAGGCATGTTTGACTCAATAGTGAAATGATTTGATCTACAAATATAAAACAAAAACAAATTAGTTAAATAGTTTAGTAGTTTGATGCTATTCTGTCCTCAATAAATGTTTGAATCTAATAAATCCATAGCGATCGTTATTTTTCTTCTTTTGCGTGTATTGTTGTATTCACTAAACCACCCCCACCCCATAATACAGTGGCGCAGATGGGGATTTAGGAGCCCGGGGGGAGGCTTGGCCTATTTGGGGGCCCTTGCATTTTGACATTCGACGTCATGACATGAGATAATGGCGTAAAATTTAATTTAAAAACAAATTTCGAGCACTCATTTGTGTTTCCCTTTGTGGGGGCCTGGTTGGATTTTCAAATTTAGCCCTCCTGCTCCCCCACCCTAGTTACGCCACTGTCTAAATATACAGCAGCCTACTCGTTTATTGTTGGCCAAAAGAAACAGATGACCTTCCCATAATCTGCCCTATAGACCACAAGGCCTTAAAGGGGAATATTACTGCCTACTGATATCAAAAATATTTATAGATGCTGAATTGTTAAAGCATTTGATAACGTTACACAATAAAGGTTTTGTAGGGAGAGTCTTAAAACTTTAAATTTCTTACATTTGAAGTTCCAATGTGTCCTATACATCATCATTAGCTGCCAGCACTAATACTCCAGACATCCAACTAAGACAAAAATCGTTTTGCTTTTAACCTTCTCAGAAGTACTATCTCATGATTTGACGACATTTTTTATTCTGGTACCTCCCTCACAGTGTTTGTTAGTTCATGCTCGCTACTGTATATGT